AATCTATAAAACAATTTCTTGGAGAGATTTTTGATCTTAGAAATTAATATATTGAAGCCGGTGGTAAAATGGACAAATAAAGCATAATATTTTTTATACTTATCATATTATTAAAATCTTGGAAGTCACTTATTGATTTGATTGCATTGAAAAAAAGACAATAGATCATGAAAGTGATAATGCAATCTATTCTCCTTGATGAAGAGATGCAAAAGAAGGAGAAGACTAGTTTTATATTTTTTTTTGCTTTAGTAGTGTATATAAAAAGAAATTAAGTCTTAAAGAAGCATATTCTACAACAAAAATAAAAGCCTAAGATTAATAAGTCGAAAAATACTTATAGGACTTATCAAGAAAAGGGGCATTAGTAAGATATTATAGAATGTCCTAAAAAAAATAGCAATGGTATGATAAATATTGGAGTTTTTGTTGTTCTTTTAGCTCAAGAGATATCATTTAATTCAAAAATAATAATTGCATCATTGTCTTAATTATGGCATTATATACATACTAATAATGTAACAGATATACATATCTAAAGAAACATTAGTAAGCTTCTCAATTTTAATAAAAATATGACTATCCAACTCTAAGGCTATGATGGTGGTATTAGCAAATCACAAGGCTGAAGAAAGATGTATCTCATAGTTTTAAATCCTATAAAAAAATACCTTTTTATAGTTATAAAGGATGTCCATTGGATTCCTAAAGCATCTGATGTTTTATTATCAGCTACAACTTTATACAAGAAAGGTTGCAAATTTAACTTGGATGTCAATAGAATCAATTGGATGCTACCTTTAGGTGACTTACTCACACAAGATACATTTGTAGGTGAAGCTTATCTTGTGTCTTGTAAAACTAAAGAAGTTGCTATAATTCCTAATTCATTTATTTTGAGTTGTACACTTATTAAATAACATCAAGCATTAGCACATGCTTCAATGCATATAATAAAAAAAAAGCAAAGCAAATGGATTATGTTGAACGATTAAAGATAAAAAAAAAAAAAAAAAAAAAAAAAAAGAATAAAATACCTATATGTAAATCGTGCATTATTGGCAAGGCCTATTGGCAACCTTTTTCATACAAGCCTAAGTATGCCAATGGTATTTTAGATGTAATAGGATCTGACCTTGGTTATTTTGATACAACTAGCTCTAGTAGCACCAAATTGTTAGTTGTGTAGATTGATGAATATTTTAGCTATTGTAGCCTTACATTTCTTCAAAATAAGGACCAAATACATGTTTCTTATAAGAATTGGAAAGCAAAGACATAAAGAAGAACTTGAAAGGAGGTAAAAAAATTTCTTACTGATCAATGTACTGAAATTCTTGAATAATAAGTTTGATTCTCACTTCAAAATTAAAGATATTTGGCACATGATTACTCTTGTATATACATATGAAATTATTGACATAGTAGAGCATATGATGTAGATTATTTTTGAAAGAATACAAATATTTTTAGATGATATTAAGTTTGATTGTCTATATTGGATGTTTATACCAAATTTGTGACTTAAACTTGCAATCACCTTTCACTTATAAGATTTGATAATAAGACATCACATGAAGTTTTTTACAATGAAAAACCTTCACTTCAAAATGGTCATTTCTTTGGTTTTCGTGCTTGATATCACATATTAAAGAAAAAATATCTAAAGCTTGATATAAAGGCAAGGAAGGATATTTTTGTTGGATATTCAAAAGTGACAAAAGAACATAAAACTTTTCTATCTAAAGAAAAGAAGGTGATTTTTAGTCAAGATGTGATTTTTTTTTTATAATAAAGATGAATTACTTAGTGAGCCACTAATCTTTGAAGAAAAAATTGAAAAAGATATGGATCATAGAAATAATTTTGATATGCTACATTTTCAACATCCAAATGAATTGAAAATATTTCACCCTCAAACCTCAAAATTACATATGCATGATGGATTGGATGGAGAAATAGTTGAAGAGGATGAAAATACTATACCAATAGAAGTAGTGGAATTCTATCAACTAAAAGAAGAGGCAACTATTCAAGCTCTACCATTAAGATATCGTTATGTAGGTGGCATTGACCCAACAAATATTATAAGTAGTAGTAATAGTAGTAGTAGTAGGATGCATTGCATGCCTTGAAAAAAAGACAACAATTTTATTTTAGGAAATTATGACTTACTGATTCAAATAATGAATGTGGTTCATATTGATGAATATGCAAAACTAGAGACTATTGACTAAGCCATGAATTAATCTTTTTACAAAGAGTAGAGTCATGCCATGAAGGAAGAACTTGATTCTTTAAAAGATCATGGTACATGAAAATTTTTATTTTTATTTAATGGCAAGAAGTTTTTAATTTTTAAAAAAAAAAATCAAAAAAAAACTTGCTAACAATGGCTCTATTGAATGTTTCAAAGTACAATTGATTGCAAAAGATTTTATTCAAGTAAAAGGTATTGATTACCAAGAAATTTTTATATCAATTGCTTATCTTATAATAATTTATATATTTTTTGTAATTATTGCTATCTTTAATTAGAATATGTTACAACTTAATATTATTTTAGCTTATTTAAATGACAAACTTAAAGGAAAAGATATTTATATAAAAATTTCAAAAATTTTGGAAGTTCCATTGAAACACAAAGGCAAGGTGTTGCAATTACTAAATACTTTATATAGTTTGAAGCAATCTAAATGTGGATAGAATGAGAGTTTGGATAAATCTTTATTGAATCTTGATTGGTAGTACTCAAAAACAGATCCTTGTTTGTACACAATATACATTGAAGGACTAGTTTTTGCATTAATTATCTATATTGATGATATATTTATTGGTTGTAAGAATTTTGAGATCCTTATAAAATACAAGAATGAATTGCAAGAGTGTTACATAGTGAAAGATCTTCATGAACCTAATGATTTTCTTTGCATTGATTTTTTACAAGATTAGAAAAATGATACTAGTAATTTGAACCAAATTAAATATATTTTTTGAAAGTTGGAAGAATTTGGGATGAAAGATGCAAAGGCAATTGCTACACCAATGGTATGAAGTCATGTCACTTAGCATAAGAATGATGATCTTTTGGATGCAAAAGATGTAAAGCTTTATCAAAAAGCTTTAGGTTTGTTATTGTACCTTGCAAATGGTACAAGGTGTGACATTGTATTTTCTTTTCAATACTTTGATCAATACATGGTACATCCATATGTTTTGCATTGGCAAGAAATCAAATGAATATTTTGTTACTTGTAAAAAAATAAAATATTTGGTATTATAATAAAGAGGAAAGAAAGTGAATTTGCAACTTGTAGGCTACACTGATAGAAATGGACCAAGTTGTGTGAAGACATGCTATTTAGTAGGAGGTTATACATTTATATTAGGAGAGGCAATTATCACTTAGTCAAGTAAGAAGGAATCTTTAATTTTTGTTTCATCAATTGAGGTAGAATATGCAGCTTTGACTGCTGCAACAAGAGAGGCTTAATAGCTTCATAAAATATTTAGGAATTATGACATTCTTGAGCCAAAAAAGATTTTTATTTATGATAATAACTAGAATGCCATTACTATTGCCAAGAATCCAATACACCATAGCCATACAAAACATTAGAATATAGAACATCATTTTATTAGACAATGTGTGGAGAAAGGACAAATTGGTTTGGAGTATTGTCCCACAAAGTAGATGGTAGTGGACATCTTCACAAAACCTCTTCTTAGAGATAAGTTTCTAACTTTTAGGAATATATTAGGTCTTGTTTTAATAGAGAATTAAGTCTCACTTCTGAAGGAGTGTTGAATGTCTCATATTCTATGTACCAAAAGTTGTGAATTATCCAACTCTTAACTAAGATACAGGAAAAACTCTCTCCTTGGCTTCCGGCACATTCTCCTTCACAACAAAATGTTTTTCATCCAATTTTTGTAACAGTTTTTTCCTATGTAAGAAAATGACTTCCCACTGTCGTTCAAATGACCTCATTTGTATATGTTCACTGTGGGTTGCAAGGGAGCCTATAGCTTCAATTCGTTGGTTAGCAGGTGTATTTAACAGGTTCTGGTTGAGTTGTGGTTTGTGTTCGTTGGTGGCTGAGTTTTTGTTGGTTCTAGAAGGTATGTTGAGTTTGTTACAATATAGTGAGGACGTGCTGTATTGGACCATTTTGTAGGCATGAGTTCGTGAACACGTGAATGCTAATTCAATTGTTTGGTATCAACGACTACGCACAACGGAGTCGTTGTATCTTAGAAGGTTCGGATAATTCTAGTGATACAAATAAACATTTGCAGCATTTCTTAAGGGAAACTGAACCTATAACTGAGCACCAGATGTACAAATCTCTAAAATCCTTGACTCTCTCACAATTTCTTCATCGAAACAATGGAGATAAGGTAATCTCTATATCATAATGCATAAGTGAGTGACGATGTTGTAAAGGAATCTGGTGGTTCACAACAACGTAAATTCGTTCGTCCGGACTCTGACTTTGCCTTCATTGATTTTCATTAAATATTCAAGATCAAAGAAGCTGAGAAACGTAGCCACCAAAAACTTTACATCTAACACCAAAAATGTATTTTGTTTTCTCTTGTAGCTTTTCCTCCTCTGTGATCTCTTTATCTGAAAGGTTGATTGACAGAAATCTGTAAAATTACTGTCAAGAGCAATCACTTTGAAAAATATACTGGTAGGAACTTATAATATTCGTCATACTCATGCACCTAGTGCACATTCAATCAAAGACAAAAGTTGAGCGACAAAAGCTTAGTTGTCAGTCCAAGCTTCTGTTGCTAAAAAATAAAATCTAGAGTCAGAAGTTGAGCGACAAAAGATTAGATGTGAGCGTTGCATCTTCCATCCTCTCTTCGCCTCTCCGGCCACAGTTACCGTGCAACAATAGACATATACTCTAGATCAATATCACAGAGAATCGAAGTAGATCGGAATCTCGGAAGCCATTTCTGTTGCAATCGAATCCACTTCAAGTCCCATGGCAGCACAATCTGATTCAAACGAGTATAAGGAGCCATTGCTGAGAAAGTTAGAGCATCAACTAGACAACACATGCAGCCTGCGAAGCGCCGACGTTGGGCATCTGTGTTGTAACAGGAAGATTTGTAGACAATGCAGTGAACAAGGGAGCTCCTTTTTTCAATCTCTATTCAATGGCATGAATGTTTTAACAGGTATTATCTGCGCCAATCTGATTCCTTTGAGTATAGGAATTACGCTGTTATAGACCGTTATTGTTTGAAGCTTTTTATAGTTCATCGCCAGTATTCTTCACAGTTAGCAGTTAATATTGCTTCATCAAATGCAAGCACCTCCACATGAAGGCCTCGACGTTGCTCAGGAGTATCTTTGAGAAGGTTCTTGATAGAAATAATTCAGGAAATCGCGCAAAAAGGGAGGTGTTAGTGACTGCATTTTAAACAACCTGAAATAACCAGAGATTTAGGTTGATTAGCTTGTGAGTGTGTGAAGGATGTTCGAAACTACTAGAAATTGGTTAATTCAGATGGTGTGCTGTTTATTGAATTTCTTTTCAACTGAATATGCGCGATTTATGGAATTCACCAAGTTGCAACTGTCCTTGTTGAGATTTAAGAGTTCATTTTGTCTATGATTGCTCTGTAGGTGTTGGAATACTATCAACTCCTTATGCTGCAGCTAAGGGAGGATGGCTGAGTCTCATACTCCTCCTGTTCTTTGCTTTGATATGTTGCTACACTGCTATTCTCCTTCGTCGATGTTTGGATTCAGACCCATACATTCGCAGCTACCGGGATGTGGGTGAAGCATCTTTCGGAAAATGGGGCCGATGGATTGTATCCATTCTGTTGTATTTAGAACTCTATGCCGTAACAGTAGAGTTTCTGATTATGGAAGGAGACAATCTGGCCCATCGCTTTCCATCCGCCAGCATTTCACTTGGACGTTATATCCTTGATCCTCATGAAGTCTTCATCATTTTATCAGCCGCCATTATGTTACCAACAGTATGGCTTCGAAAGCTACCATTTCAGCCACATCTGGGTAGCTGCGAATGTATGGGTCCTACATTTCAGCCACCAGGGTCGTTGCCTCCTTGTTAATAGTTCTAACAGTTGGCCGGATTGGAGTGCTCGACGGGGTTGGATTCCACCACCACGGAACCCTTGTACACTGGAATGGGCTGCCTGTAGCTGCGGGCCTTTGCTCCTTCTGCTATTGTGGACACGCAGTCTTCCCAAGCGTGTACTGTTCTTTGCGCAACCGCACACAGTTTTCACTTGTAAGAGGCTAAACATCACATCTCTTTAAACTCATCTTTCTCTCCGACTTGCAAGCGCTTAGTTCAAAGCCCTTCATTATACAAAACGGTGTACAAACACACGCTGCCCTCTGACCTGTGACTGCTTGTTGATCCACTGCAGGTTGTAGTCCTTAGTTTCATCTTATGCACAATACTATATGACGGCATTGCTGCTATGGGTTACACAATGTTTGGGGACGAGCTGCAATCACAGATTACTCTCAACCTGCCTCACGAAGCCCCTGCTTCTCAATTCGCAATCTGGGTGACACTCATCAATCCGTTTGCGAAATATGCCCTCACTCTGACTCCAGTGGTGGTGGCACTGGAGGAGTTCCTTCCCCACTCTGTGAAAGGCTCCAGGGAGGACATGAGATTTTGGGGCACAATCCTGAGGACACTAATCGTCATCAGCACCGTTATTGTGGCACTCTCAATTCCATTCTTTGGCCTTCTGATGGCCTTCATCGGGTCCTTACTTAGTGCAACGGTGTCCATCATCCTGCCTTGTCTATGCTACTTGAAGATTTATGGGCACCAACTCTCCGATCCTAAAGTTTCATGTGTTGGGGCCGTGTTGTCTCTAGGCATTTTAGTAGCAATTGGGGGAACTTACTTTTCTGTGGTAGCCATCATCGAAAATCTTTAGATCTTAAGAAACTAGGGTTTTTTAGGACAATTGATAATCCGGTTAACGTCTAGATTATTGCCGATTACACTGAGTCACCTACGTTTGATTGCTAGAATGTTAGGTGCATATTGACTTGCTTTTATATTTGTTTTAAAGGAATAAAAAGTTAAAAATGTGAAGCAGATTGATGTGCGCTGGATACAAGAGTCTGCTAGAACAAGGACATACATACATACATCCATGCATACAAATACAAATATATATAAACCATTCCTGTCCAAAAACGAGCTTCATAGAATCACGTGCCATTTTCAATGGTGGAGTTAGGACGTAGTCCGCTTTTTCGTGAATTTCCAGTTGAGTGGAAGTTGCTGACGTATGTGATGTGAAAGTTCTGCGTGGTAGACGATCGAGTGAGCTAGCAAGCTTGCGTGCGTGCGTGCGTGCGTGCGTGCGTGCGGGACTGTGGCGACGCATGAGACCCGCCCGATCGCGCTGATCGTCGCGGACTAAGGCAGTTGCGGCGTGCGTAAGAATATGTGCGGCGGACTCGGTCGAATCCGGTGGCATCGTCGGTGCTGGAGGTTGCGAGGTAAACGATGGCGGCGGGCGACAAGAAGAAGAAGAAGCGATGGCGCAGGCAGCAGCAGATGGGATTTGGTGGGAGGAGATGACGGTGGAGCCAGCTTCCCACTACAATACAACACATGCATGTTGTGCAGCTTTTTATTGGTTGAATGAATTTGAGAAGCCTTACTTACTTGGGGGACAAGTTGAAAAGTCACAACTTTTAAATCATTTGATTGGTTGAGATTTAAAAGCTTCACTAAATTGGTCTTTTTTTAATATAGAAAAATCAATCCAAAAGTCGAGTAGAAAAGATGAGGTGGAATGTATTTTATTCTAATAGAGCATGAATAGTATTGTTCCTTGAAATTTTTATTTGGCTCATCTTAAGATGTGGTTTTTTGAAAAAAAAAAAAAAAAAAAAAAAAAAAATTGTGTCAAAAAATTAAAATAACCATTTAAAATATAAAATTTTTTTAATACTTTTCATAATTGTTAATTTCTCATGTTTTAAATGGTTATTTTGAATATGTATTGATACAATTCCTTCTATTCATTTTAAACCTCACCTCTTGGAATGTATCTAATAGAAATTTTGAAAAATAATACTATTCCTGCTATGTAGGAAAAAATTATATTTTACCCCATTTTTTTTTTCTATTAAGGTCTATAGATTGCTTTTTTTAAATATAAAATCAACTCAAGAGAGCTTCTTGATTTCAACCAATAAAAGTATTAAAAAATTGGGGCGTTTTATCTTATACTCTAAGTGTAAGGTGTCTCTTAGTTTAATTTCTGTTCAAGAAGATAAAACCAAAGGTCCTAAAAACAAATAAAGTTAGAATTCATTTTTTTTTCTAATATGACATAAATTGTGTCTTTTTATTGAATTTGCAATAAATCTTAGAATCTTAAGGTGGTTTTAACAAAAATTTGACAAGCTATATCAAAAATTGTAATATATAAATATATATATATATATATATATATATATATATTTATAATTTTTACAATCAAGGTATGAAATAAAATATTTAGATAAAAGTTAAAGTAATTAATTTTATGATATAGAAAAAAATTATAGTTTTTATAAATTACAAAAACTTATCTATTAGATTTTTTTAGCCAATGGTTAGAAGATTAAAAAATAGATTTATTTTCGCTATATGTAATGTAAAAAAATATATTTTTATGGTTTAAAATATATAATAATTAGTTACAATATAAAGTAACTATTAATTATTAACTACTATAGAGATAGTATCATAAGCTTTAATAATATCACAAAAAAATTATAATATTTTGTAATAAGATTAATTAGAGAGACAAGAATATAAACATCAATTTTTTTTAGTAGAATTTTGAAGAAGGCTCAAAAAATATTTATCTAAGTAATAAACCAAATCCAATGTTATTAGATTTATTTAAAAAGAATCATTTTATTGTGGAAAAAAGTATATTAATACATTTAAAAACTTAGAAAAATAATTAAAATAAATAATTATATTATAGTCTATCTTTCATATGTATTAATACTTTGGAGCAAAGAAACTTGTAACACTTATGTGATATTAATACTTTAACAATTATTGAAGGTAACATAAATAATTTGTGACACTTATATGAATAACACTTATGTGACTTTGGAATTTAAAAAATTAATACTTATATAAATGAAGGATGAAAATACATAAAACATAGATATCATTTTATATCTAAGTATAATAGAAGAAAAAATCTAAAGGAGTTTGATAAGATTCTTGTATATGCTATGATTTTTTTTTTTTTTTTGAAGTATTTAAATTCTTTGTATGAGAAGTGTAATATGTCAAGGACATGAATCTCAAAGAAAGGAAATCCTCAATACATTCTTGTATCACTAAAAGGAATTAGAAAGTCACTCAAAGATGATATAATATTGAATTAGAATGGCTATTGCTAAAAACAAGAAGACTAGAAAGCCTTGAAACATGTCTTAACTTGTAAGACAAGTTATCTATATATACACCATATAGTTAGCTTGTTCCACAAGCTATTATACAAAGTTAACTTGTTCCTCAAGCTACCAACACGTGATTAACTTGTTGGCCAAGTTTCTAACTTACAAACACATTTGAAGTCAATACTGCATCTATGAAGCTTTTGGGAAGCTTCTCTAGAAGACTTTATGAAATTAATTTATATTTATCTACTTCTACCTAATCATATAAGTAACTATTGAGATAAATATAAATGTCCATGACATAAAATCAATAGACTTTTATTCCAAAAAATATTTCAAGGTCATTGATTCACTTTCAATATTCTTAAATCTTATCTTATCTATGACCATATTACCAATTTGTACATTATTAACTTCTTCAATGGATTTATTGTTAGTTACATCATTTCTTTCATCAAGCATATTTAAAATTTCTTCATCAATAGTTATGTAGGAATTATTTAGATGAATTTTTAATTTATAATTGATCAACTTATTTACATTTATAGTAGGTCTATTTTTAATTTCTATAGATACTAATGCCAATTATTCTAAGAAGGTGATAACTTCTAATTTTTTTCTTTTGTATTGCTTCTTGAGCTTTTCTATCTCTCATAATTGTCTCTTCTACATCTATATAATCAAAAAGAATAAAATAAAATAAAAAATCTGTACATTTTCAATAATTTATGATTATTGATGTACTAACTCTAATTTGTCAAGTATTCTCTAGCATTATCACATATTGATATGCATCAATATCTTTACTCTTATTTTTTATAAGAAAATCTATTTGATGTTGAATCAACGACAGGCAACATTGATCTTTAAATGATCAAATAATTCTTGCATCTATGAGTTGGAATCTACTTATAGCATTTAGAGGTAATAATTTTAATTTAGAACCATTAATTGTATACATACATTAAATACTTGGTGAATTGAGAAATTATCAATCAATAGTAACATCTTTTTCTTGTGTGTATCAACCATCTTCCTCTCAAAATCATGCATAAATTCTTCAAATATACTTATAATCATCTAAGTTTTTTTATTTGTAAATTATTTAATTTCAAGAATTTTTAGGTTGAGAATATATCTACTTAAAAATGCTTAAGGCTTCATATACTTATTAATAATTAAAGGAAGAAGTTTAAAGGTACTATTAGTATTTGCAATAAGTACAACAATAATATTTTTCTTTTCTTTTTTCTTCCATGAAAACCTCTTTGTAGCAAGTATTTGATTTGGTTCAACCTTATAAAAGAGGCATGTCTCATACATATTGAATATTTCAAAAAGAACATATTAAAATACAAGAAATTTAATTTTATATATCTTCTTTAAGGCCTCAAATGAAGTATCAGCAAATGTACTCTCTCTATGATTAATATATTCCTTGATATAAAATCTCTTCTTAAATTTTTTCACCCATCCACATAAAAATTAAAGCTCTTTTTCATCCTCTTCTTTGTGTATCATGCCATAAAATCTTTTTGTAGTAGCAATTACAAGATTATCAAACAAAAAGAAATTATAATCCTCTATAAGCTTAAATTAGATTAAAATAGCCTATTTCATTTATAGATATTAAACTTTTTTAATTTTCTATGAAAAAATTAGATGTTAAACATCAATATTCAATAAATCTCTTTTATTTAGTAATTTATAAATAATCATCTCAAAAATTAAGGCATAATAAATAGAATTAAAATATGCAATCAAAGGTCTATTGGTAATATTTTGTCTATTAGACACTAATCTCTAATGATATTGGACGATCTCTTTTTTGCACCAAAGTAAATTTAGAGCCATTTTCTATTATAGACCTAAACTTCTAGTCTTTTTAAATCATCAAATTACAAATTTATCTCAACATCATAATATTACTGAATCTTCAAATAACACAACACTAAAATACAAAGATGTTAATGTAAAGAAGCCAAATTTTAAATTCCAGAAATGTTCATGGAATTTGTGGCTAGTAATATTTGTATGATGTGGAATGTATAGTGTATGATGTATGAAGATAAGATGGATTATATACAATAGTATAAATGCCAACTACAATATGATCTATATATAATTGAATTAATTCAATTTTATCTCAATTATAAAATTTTATAGTCTCACTTTCATTCAAATTAATACTTATCAAGATAAATTCATTGAAGAGATAAGCTAAAAAAAAATATCTTAGAAATTAATAATTAATATAAATTAGTATATTTTTTAGATTTATTTTTTAAAATAGTAATTTTCTTAATAATTATGTAATTTTAATACTTATTAAGGTAATACATATTGAAGTTGGATTATAATATGTTTTGACTTTATTCATAAATAATCTAAAATATATGCATTAAAAAGATTTTTTTATCCTAAAATAAAAGCCTATATTTTATTTTAGCTAATTTTATTAATAAATTAAATTTATGTTAGAGACAAGAACTCAAAAAATATAAATAATCAAGTGAGACATTCTTTAAAGAAAGTTATATATATATATATATATATATATATATATATATATATATATTCAAGAAAAAAATTAATTTATTATCGCTAAAGATTGAAAAACTAAAAATTCTTGAATCTAGATTAGAATCAAAAAAGGAATTAATAAGACTAAAGAAGACATCACTCTTACTTCTCTATATAGACTATCTAACTATGAACTATGTGGTGATACTCAATAGAACCTCTAATACATCAACACATGCTCAACTTATAATTCAAGTATCTAATTTACAAGGCA